TGCTGACCTCCGCAATTTCCCCAAATGTGGGAAACTCGACTGCATAATTTGTGGCAGTGGGGGACTGTGTTAGTGCTTTCCCCTTGAAAAAAAATAATTATATACCATGACCAAGTAAGGTTATTGTAGGGATGCAAGCTTGGCTCAGTATTTTAAGCTTGGTTAGTGTAATCTACCATATTAACAGATTAAAGAAGAAAAATCACGTGATCATGTCAGTTGATACAGAAAAAGCATTTGATAAAATTTAACACCTAATGAAAAATAGAAATAGTGGGAAACTTCCTTCATTTGACAAAGGTCATCTATGAAAAATCCTGTAGCTAATGTTATTTAATAGTAAAAGGTTGAATACTGTTTCACTACCATCAGGGACAAGGCAAAGATATTTGCTGTCACCATTCTTATTCAGTATAGTGTTGGAATTTCTAGCCAATGCAATAAGACAAGAAAAGGAAATAAAGGACATAGATTGGAAAGGACAAAATACAATCCTATTTGCAGATTACTTGATTGTCCATATAGAAAATTTAAGGGATATACAGAAAACTCATAGGACTAATAACTAAGTTCAGCAAGGTCACAGGATACAGGATAAACAAAAATCATCTGTATACAGTATACAATATATACAATTTTTGAATCAGGATTTTACTCTTACCCAGGCTGGAATGCAGGACTCACTGTATCCTCGACCTCCTGGGCTCGGGCGAGCCTTCCACCTCAGCCTTCTGAGTAGCTGGGACTACAGGCACACCCTACCATGCCTGGCTAACTTTTGATAGAGACAAAATCTTGCTATGTTGCCCAGGCTGGTCTTTTACTCCTGGACTCAAGTACTCCTCCTGCCTCAGCCTCCCCAAGTACTTGGATTCCAGGTGTGAGCCACTGTGCCCAGGCTTTTTTTTTTTTTTCCTGAGTCACCCAGACTGGAATGCAGTGGCATGCTCATGGCTCACAGCAGCCTCAGCTTGTAGGGCAGGCAATCCTTCCTCCCTATCCTCCCTAGTAGCTGGGACTACAAGTGCACAGTACCACACCTGGCTAATTTTTTTATTTTTTGGAAGAGACGAGGTCTCACTTTGCTTAGGCTGGTCTTGAATTCCTAGGCTCAAGCAATCCTCCCACCCCAGCCTCCTAAAGTGCTGGGATTACGGGAGTGAGCCACCATTCTTGGCCTCTATATACTATTAATGAACACATGTCCACAGAAATTAAATATATATTACCATTTACAGTTACTCAATAAAAAGGAATACTTAGGTATAAATCTAACAATATATACCAAAAGCTACAAAATACTGATGAAAATAATTAAAGAAGGTCTAACTAAATGGAGAGACGTGTTCATGGATGAAAAGACTCAAGATGATGTCAATTCTCCCAAATTGATAAACAAGTTTAATGCCATTTCTGTGAACATCCCAGCAAGATTTTTTTAATAGCTGTAGACAAGATTACTCTAAAATTTATGTTGAAAGGCAATGGATCTAGAATAGCTAAAGCAATTTTGAAAAAGAATGAAGAGGAAGTAATCTACTCAGTCTCAAGGCTTACAGTATAGTTACTGTGATCAAGACTAAACAGCATCAGTGGAGTGGCAGACACCTTGATGGAACAGAACTGAGAACCCAGAAACAGACCCACACAAATATGCCCTTCTGATTTTTTTTTACAAAGGTGCAAACACAATTCAATGGAGGAAAGATAGTGCTTCAAGCAAAATGGTGCTGGAGCCATCGGATGTCCATAGGCAAATAAGTGAACCTCAACCTGAAACCTTACATCTCATGCAAAAACTAAGTCAGAATGTATCACAGACTAAATATGGAACAGAAAACTATAAAACTTTAGGAGAAAGTCTGGGGAGCTAGGGGTAGACAAAGAGTTCTTAGACACCAAAAGCATAATCCACAATAGGAAATACTAAAAAATTGAACTTCATCAATATTCAAAACTTTGCTCAACAAAAGACTGTTAAAAGGGTGAAAAGACAAGCTACAGAATTAGACAAAATATTTGGAAACCCCATATCTAATTAAAAAAAAAACATAGAATCTAGAGTATATAAAAGTCAGCAGTAAAAAAAAAGCAAACAATCCAATTGGAACACAGGCAAAAGACATGAAGAGACATTTCATTAAAGAAGATGCACAGATGGCAAATAAACATTGAAAAGATGTTCTATATTAATTTGCCTTCGGGAAATGCAAATTAAAACTACACTATCGACCAGGCTTGGTAGCTCAGCTTGTAATACCAGCACTTTGGGAGACTGAGGGGAGCGGATTGCCTGAGCCCGCAGGTTCAAGACCAGCCCGGAAAACTTGGCAAGACCTCATATCTACAATAAATCAAAAATTAGCTCGGCATGGTAGCACGTACCTGTAGTTTCGTCTACTTGGAAGGCTGAGGCAGAAGGATCGCCGTAACCCAGCAGGTCGACACTGGGGTGGCCGTGGGTGTGCTACTGCACTCCAGCCTGGGCAACGGAGTGAGTCTCCAACTCAAAAAATAAAAATAAAACTACACTATCAAGCCGGGTATAGTGACTTATGCCTGTAATCCTAGCACTTTGGGAGGCGGAGGCAAGAGGATTGCCTGAGGCCATGGGTTCAAGACCAGCCTGAACAACATGGTGAGACCTCGTTTCTACAATAAATCAAATAATTAGTCAGACATAGTGGCGCATGCCTATAGTTCCAGCTACTTGGAAGGCTGAGGCGTAAAAATTGCTGGAGCCTAGCAGGTTGAGACTGCGGTGGCTGTGAGCATGCCATTGCACTCCAGCCTGAGAGACACAATGAGACTCCAACTCAAAAAATAATAATAATAATTTAAAAAAAAAACTACACTATCATTGCACAGCTATAAAAATTAGTGACAACACCAAATTCTAGTGAGGATGTGGGGGAACCAGGGCACTCACACTTCGCCTGTGGGAATGAAAAATGGCTCAGCTGCCCTGAAAAAGTTTACAGTTTCTTTTAAAAACTAAACATGTAGCTAGGCACAGTGGAGACAACAGTGCTCATGCCTGTAATCTCAACACTTAGGGAGGCCAGGGTGAGAGGACTGCCTGAGCCCTGGAGTTTTAGATCAGCCTGGGCAACATGGTGAGATCTTGTCTCTGCAGTAAATCAGAAAATTAGCCAGTCATGATGGTGCGCACCTGTAGTCCCAGCTACTTGGAAGGCTGAGGTGAAAGTATTACCTGAGTCAGTGGGTCAAGGCTGTGCTTAGCTGTGAGCGTGTGACTGCACTCCAGTCTGGGCAACAAAGTGAGAGTCCAACTCAAAAACAAACAGAACTAAATATGTAGCTACACATCTGGACATTTATCCCAGAGAAATAAAGACATATTTACACAAAAGCCTACACATAATAGCTTTATTTATAATATCCAGGAACTGGAAATGACCTAGATATCTTTCTCTGGGTGTATGGTTAAACAGAATGTAAGGTCCCACCATACCTTGGAATGCCACTTGGCAATAAAAAGTAAGTGACAACCTGATGAATCTCTGGAGAATTTTACTAAGTGGGGAAAAAAAAAAAAGCTAATCTCAAACAGTTACTGTATGGTTTCATTTACAGATCATTCTTGAAATGAGCAAATTCTAGAAATGGAAATGTCTAGCTGTTGCCAGGGGTTAAAGGAGGGGACAGAAATGGGAGGGAGGTGTGTGTGACTAGAAGGGCATTGGGTGGTGATGGAAAGTCCTGTATCCTGACTTTCTTGGGCTCCTCGTTATGAGATTATTTTCTTGTGTCTTATGGTGTTACCAACTGGGGGAAACTGGCACAGTGTGCATGGAACCTTGGTTATTCTTACAACTACATATTAATCTACAGTTACCTCAAGATAAAAAGTTTGATGTAAAATATCACCCTGGGTAATGTATTCACAGGGTGCTTAGCCTGAGCCCTGAGGTGCCTGCTACAGTCTCCACAATGAAGCACTGCCCATGTGCTATTGTGGAACTGGTCCAGCCTGTCACCTTTTTTGAGTCATCCAGCACGGCATCTTTTTTGAGTCAGTCTCACTCTGTCGCCCAGGCTGGAGTGCAGTGGCATGCTCAGGGCCACTGCAGCCTTGACCTGCTGGGCTCAGGCAATCCTTCCACCTCAGCCTTCCAAGTAGCTAGGACTACAGGCATGTGTCATCATACCTGGCTAATTTTTTGATATATTGTAGAGATAAGGTCTCGCCAAGTTGCTCAGGCTGGTCTTGATCCCGTGGGTTCAGGCAATCCTCTTACCTCAGCCTCCCAAAGTGCTGGGATTATAGGCGTGAGACACCATGCCCGGCCCCAGCATGGCATCTTGACCGTAAAGTTTGGGTTGTAAGAGCCAGGCAGAGCAGAGAGAGACTACTTGACTGGGCAGGACCTGGCTGAGGTCTGGTTGATTGCATTTGGTTCCTGTGAGCTCACACCTGGTGCGATTCCACTTCTAGGATCCAGGATCTGTAGAGACCTCCACCTATGTCACCTTGTTGAGGCACTGCTGTGGCCACCGCAGTCACAGACCCAGCAGCCTCTGTGACTTTACGTAGCATGTCTTTCTCACATGAGACCTGACATGAGATAGGGCCCTGCACCCCTGCAGGTGCCCCCAGCTCAGCAGAGAGTGGAGGTGGCACATGAACTCCAAAGTGCCTTTGCTCACTTCGCCATGAGCATGTCATTAGTTCAGGTAGTTGCATGTTCCCATGCAACTGTGAGGGTGCTTAGCAGTGCACACAGAACCCAGAATAGGGGAGCTCTTAGAGCTATGCACACCCCCAGGGGTGTGTGTGGGATGAGGACTGGGGGGTACTTGTCATGTGCTTCCTTGTCCCACTCTTAGTGACAAGGAGGGTCGCCTTCAGTGTCACAGTTTTCCTCTGCATCTGGAGAGGTGTAGCAGAGGAGGAAGGGGTCGGGGAGGCCAGGTCCAACATTGTGAAATTAGGCCCTGGGGTATTGGCAATACACCCTTCCCTCTCCTGATTACAGAGAAACTGATGACTCCTGAGATGTTTTCGGAAATCCTCTGTGACGACCTTGATTTGAACCCCCTGACATTCGTGCCGGCCATCGCCTCTGCCATCAGACAGCAGATTGAGTCCTATCCCACAGACAGCATCCTGGAGGACCAATCAGACCAGCGTGTCATCATCAAGGTAGGTGGCTCCTCACCCTGCGCTGGGCCCTTCTTGGCCCTGGGGGCGGGGTGGGTAAGTGTTGTGAGGGCTGAGGCCTCAGTAGAAGCCTGTCTTTGGGTTCCGTGCTGTCTGGAAAGCCATCTTTCAGGCAGCACCTGACCCTGGTCCTCTATATCCCCACAGGAATGGCATACGCCAACTTCTCAGAGTAATGTGTAGCATTCTGGACACATTCACAGGCTGTGGCACTGCCAGGCACTGAGCAGAGCTCAGAAGTCCAGAGGAGGTTAAGGCAGCTGACAGTCAGAATAGGAAGCCCTCAGTAGAATAGGCAGCTCTGTTGCATTCGCCCATGGACTGGGCTGGGCATATCCCAAGCTAGCCCGGCAGCCCTGTAAGATGCTACCTTTGCCACCATCTTACAGGTGAAGAGGTGGGCACACGGAGAGCTGAGCTTACCTGCCTCTAGCTGGCCAGCTGAAAAGTGGTAGATGGATCTGGTAATCGGACACAGGCCTGCCCACTACAGAGCTTGCAGCATGAATTCGCTGTACACTGTCTCACATGCTGGACCATGTGATGTGGGCTAGGGTAGCTTTGAAACCAGGAAGATATAAGGAAAAGGAGGTAAGATTGGCACGTGGTGACCCTAAATTGTCAGTGATTTTGTTTGATCTAATTCTGTGCATTTGGCTTCAATTTTAGGAAAACATTTGTGTATAAAAATAAGTGCCACATTACAAAGGGTTCCTGAAAATAGTCCTTGGGGTGGAGGAGTTTCGGGAGGGACACCTGCTGGGCCAGAGGGAAGGCTCTGCTCTTGTGCCAGATGTAGCCTCGGACCGTTTCAGCCCAGTGTTCCTGTTGGTTCTCCAGGAGCACCTCACAAAGATTTTGGAAAATGACGATAAGGAATCACCTGCAACTTTCTCTGTGGTCCCCAAGTGGAAAATAATAATACTTTTTTTGAAATTTTAATTAATTTTAAAAAATTGTTGTAAAGTATAACAATTCCGTCACTCAGACTGGAGTGCTGTGGCATGATCACAGCTCACCACAGCCTTGACCTCCTGGACAGGCTATCCTTCTATAGGTGAACATCCTTAGTAGCTGGAACTATAGGTGAACACTGCCATGCCCAGCTAATTTTTTTAATTTTTTGTATAAATGAGGTGTTGCTATGTTACCTAGGCTGGTCTTGAACTCCTGGGCTCAGGTGATCTGCCTGCCTTGGTCTCCTAAGTGCTAAGATTACAGGTGTGAGCCACCATACCAGACCTTTTTTTTTCTTTTTTTCAAGTCAGAGTCTCACTCTGTCACCAGGAATGCAGTGGCACAATCTGGACTCAGTGTAACCTCAATCTCCTGGGCTCAGGTGATCCTTCTGCTTCAGCGCGCCCCCCTCCCCAATAATTAGGACTATAGGCACATGCCACCCCACTGGCTAATTTTTAATTTTTTTTGTAGAGATACGGTCTTGCTATGTTGCTTAGGCTGGTCTCAAACTCAAAGCAGGCTCAAAGCAGTCCTCCCTCCTTGGCCTCCCAAAGTGCTGGGATTACAGGTGTGAGTCACCACACTCAACCCATTTTAAGCATAAGGATCAGCGACATTAAGTACATTCACATCATTGTGCAGCCATCACCACTATCTGTCTCCAAAAATTTTATCATTATATAAAACTGAAACTGTGCCCATTAAACACTAATTCTCTGTCATCCCCTCTTCTGGCCCTTGGCATCCACCACTCTTCTTTCTGTCTCTGTGAGGTTGACTACTTCAGGTACCTCATGTGAGTAGAATAGTGCATGTATCTTTCTGTCATAGGCTTATTTCACTTAGGGTAATGTCCTCAAGCCTCATCCATGTTATAGCATGTGTCAGAATTTCCTTCCTTTTTAAGGTTGACTAATGTTCCACTTTGGGGATCTACCACATTTTGCTTATTGATTCATTCATCAATGGACGCTTGGGTTGCTTCCACCTTTTGGCTATTGTGAATAATGTGACTATGAACATGGGTATACAAATAGCTGTTTATGTTTCTGATTTCAGTTCTTTTGGGTATATATGCTGGATCATATGGTAGTTCTATTTTTACTATTTTTAGGAACTGCCAAACTTTTTTCCACAGCAGCTATACTATTTAACGTTCCCATCAACAATGTACAAGGGTTCCAATTTTCCCACCTCCTTGTCAGCACTTTTTATTTTCTATTTTTTTCATGTTAGCTATCCTAGTAGGTGTGAAATTGTCTCCCATTGTGATTTTGATTTGCATTTCCGTAATTGATTTGTGATCATGAATCTTTCCATGTGCTTATTGGCCATTTGTGTATCTTTGGAGAAATGTCTATTCCAGTCTTTTACCTATTTTTCATTCAGGTTGTTTCGGTGTTGAGTTTTACCAGTCCTCTATTCTGGATATCAATTCCTTATCAGACATATGATTTGCAAGTGTTTTCTTCTGTTCTTCAAGTTGCCTTTTTGTTCCGTCGGTAGTATCCGTTGATGCACAAGAGTTTTTCATTTTGATGATGTCCACTTAGTCTATTTTTTCATTTGTTGCCTGTGCTTTTTGGTGTCATGTTTGGGAATCAGTGCCAAATCCAATGTTTTCTTCCAAGAAAAGTTACAGTTATATCTTTCATCCATTTCAAGTTAATTTTTGTATATGTATTAGGTAAGGGTCCAACTTCATTCTTTTGCATGTGGATATCCTAGCACTGTTTATTGAAAAGACTGTCCCTTTCCCCATTGAATGTTCTTGGCATCCTTGTCAAAAATCATTTGAATGTATTTGCGAGGGCTTATTTCTGGACACTTTATTCCATTGGTTTATATGTCTCTACCACACTGTTTCAGTTACTGGAGCTTTGTAGTAAGCTTTGAAGTCAGGAAGTGTGAGACCTCAACTTTGTTTTTGTTTTGTATTTTTTCTCCTGAGATTGATTTGGCTACTTGGTGTTCCTTGAAATTCCATGTGAATTTTAAGATGGATTTTTGTATTGCAAATAATGTAAAAAACATTATTGAGATTTTAATAGGCATTACATTGAATTTCTAGATTGCTTCGGTTAGTATTGGCATCTTAATAATATTAACTTTTCTAGTCCACGAACATGGGTTGTCTTTCCTTTTATTTATGCATTCATTAATTTCTTTCAGTGATGTTTTGTAGTTTTTGTTGTACAGATCTTGTATCTTTATAGTTAATTCCTGTGTATTTTATTCTTTTTCCTGCTATTTAAAACAGAATTGTTTTATTGATTTCTAAGTTATGCATGGTAGTACATGCCTGTAAGCCCAGCTACTCATGAGTCTCAGACAGGAGAACTATTTGAGCCCAGGAGTTTGAGTCCAGACTGAGATCCCCATCTCTACAAAAAAGGTTAATCTTTCAAATTGTTCATTGTTAATGTATAGATATGCTCCTAATTTTTGTGTGTTAATTTTGTATTCTGCTACTTTTCTGAATTCCTTTATTCTAACAGTTTTTTTGTGCATGGAATCTTTTTTTTTTTTTTTTTTTTTAGTTTGGAAAATGTAGTTTATTTAGAAAGTAAACTAGAGAGAGAAAAAGAGTAGGGGGCCAAAGTTCTGTGCATGGAATCTGTAAGTTTTATATATATAAGATCACACCATCTCTGAACAGAGATAGCTTTACTTTCCATTTCTGGTTTGGATGCATTTTATTTCTGTTTCTTGCCAATACTATGTTGAACAGAAGTGAGGACAGTAGGCATCCTTGCCTAGTTCCTGCTCTTAGAGGAAAAGCTTTCAGTTTTCCACCACTGAGGATGATCTTAGCTGTGGATGTTTCATATTTCATTTACTGTGTTGAAATAGTTTCCTTCTATTCTTTATTTGTTAAGTGTTTTCAAGAGTTTTGAATGTTGTCAGGGGCTTTTTTGCATCAGTTGAGGTGATCATATGGCTTTTGTCCTTCATTCTGTTAATGTGATGTGTTATGTTGATTTCCTACATCGAATAATCTTTGCACTGCAGGAATAAGTCCCACTTGGTTGTGGTACATGATCCTTTTAATATGCTGTTAAATTCAGTTTGCTAGTATTTATTTGAGAATTTTTGCATCAGCATTCTTAAGGGATATTGGTCTGTAGTTTTCCTTTCTTATAGTGTTTTTTCTGACTTTGGTATCAGGGCACTGACTTAAAGTGTATTCCCTTCTCTTCAGTGTTTTTGGAAGAATTTGAGAAGGATTGGTGTTAGTTCTTTAAATGTTGGTAGAACATTCACCAGTACAGCCATGAGGTCCTGGGCTTTTCTTTCTTGGGAAGTTTTTGGTTACTGATTTAATCTCCTTACTAGTTAATACCTTTATTTTTGAGATAAATATACATTTGTTCCCTTAGCTTGTTTCATTTTCACATTATGGCCAGCTAGTAGGAAAGGGGTAGCATTGAGATCAAAGGCAACATCATAGGTGAGAAGTGGAGGTAGGTGGGGAACAGTAGCTGGTGCCTGGCTTGTATTACAGGCACAGTCTACTGGCTCTGGAGGGCAGCCTGAAGGCTCCACTCCGGGCCATCTTTGTCCTGTAACTATGGTGAGAATGAGGCCTTGATTAACCCGCCCAACCATGTGGTTCCAAGTGACGGGTTGGCCACACACAGCTGACTTTCCTGACATTTTCCTCAGAATTGAACACTACTTTTTATTGTTGTCTTGATGGGGCTTCTGGGGCAGCAATGCAGAAAGTTGTTTGACAACGGTAAGTCCTCCTGGGTCTGCCCCTTGCTCCCCCGAGCATAAGCTTTTCCAGTGACCCTCTGACTTATCTATAATCTGGGTTGGCTCTGTTCAGTTCCAGGGGAGTAGGGGACTTGGTTTGAGCCATGAGACCTGTAGTGCTGGCCAGGCCCTGTCTTGGGTGCACACAGGGTTATGGAGAGGTGGGAGATGGCAGGAGCCTGGCCCCACCATGGGCCTGCTTGGGCATCTTAGCCTCCACTCTGTGAATCCACCTGGAGTGCAGGCTCCTCACCACCTAACCAAGGCCCTACCACCCACATGTGAGGTAGTGTTGGCTGGTAGGCTGTTGGGAGACTGACCCCAGTTGGGATTCCTGCCCCGTCCTCTGGGGTCAGACTGGTGCCATGGGATGGGCACAGCTGACCCAAGGAACCTGTGCTGCATGGGACACTGCTGCATTTATCAGGCCAGGGCGTCGTGGGTACCATGACCCTGGGCATAGCACCCAGTCCTGCAGGTGAAGAACTGAGGGTCCCTCCCAGTGTTTCCCATTTATAACTGGGACTCAGAAGAAGATCTGGAGGTTCCTCTTGATCTTGGAACAGGGCAAAGGGAAGATGGAACTCTTTGGAGCCAGGGCACCTGAGGAGTGTCTCTTACCTCAGAAAGCAAGGCCTCATACTGGTGTCCTTGGCAGTGTCAGGATCAAAGCCCAGGCCTTGCTACCTTTACCTGGGCACCTGGCCCAGGTTAGCTCGGTGCAGTTCTTGGGGGGGGTTGGGGACTTGGTGTGACTGAAGTGTGAGCCATGAGACCTGTAACACTGGCCAGACCCTGTCTTGGGCGTACACAGGAGGGTAGAGAAGTGGGAGATGGCAGGAGCCCTGCCCCACCACAGGCCTGCCTGGGTGTCTTGGTTCAGCCTCCACTCTGTGAACCTACCTGGAGTCCCCGCTCCTCACTACCCAACCAAGGTCCCTGCCAGATAGCTCCCTCCCTGCTGCCCTCCTCCACTCATCCCCTCCGGGGTTGGCCCAGGGTTACGTCTCTGAACAGGCTTTGCAGGGTGATTCTCGAGAGGGGTGGACTCTGGAAAGAAACAGAGTAAGAGTAAGGGCATAGATTCTGGCTGAGGTCAGGGCTTAGGGAAAGCATCTAATGAGTGACCCTGGAGCTAGTGTAGTCATACAAAGAAAGGAGGGCCCCACCAGTGTTGGGGGCATTGTCTGGGGCAGGGAGGACGGAATGAAGGTACAATAGGACTCACTTCAGGGCCTCCCAAACCAGGACAGTTGTGGAGTCAACGCTGTTTTGTGGATGGAGTCCTGGAAGGACAAGGGCCAGCCCTGGTTCTCAGCTAGTAAGTCATGGGTAGAGTCTACCCCAGGCCCACGGTCCCAGGGTATGCTGTTCCCACCTCACCCCTTCCCTGGGCTGGCGATAGTCCTGATGGTTCTAACTTGCATCCTTTCTTGCCTCAGCTGAACATCCACGTGGGGAACATTTCCCTGGTAGACCAGTTCGAGTGGGACATGTCAGAGAAGGAGAACTCACCGGAGAAGTTTGCCCTGAAGCTGTGCTCAGAGCTGGGCCTGGGTGGGGAGTTTGTCACCACCATCGCGTACAGCATCCGGGGACAGCTGAGCTGGCATCAGAAGACCTATGCCTTCAGGTAGGGCCATGCGTAAGTCTCCACCCCTTGTCCCCCTACAAAACCATTTTAGGGAAGACATCTGTCCATCGAGTGCCGTTGCCTTGGCACTTTCTTGAGCTTTTGCAGTATAATCTGGCCAGTGTCCCTGTGTTTGCTTTGTCCCCCCCCGACCCATGCACCTCAGCAGGGCTCTGCCAGCGCAGGTAGGATTGGAAGCACTCAGCACCATGCCTGGAAGACTTGGAACTGTCAGTGTGAACCTGAAGTCCTCGCTTCCACCAAGCCCCGTGTCCCAGGCCCTCCCCAGGTGTACCCCTAGGCCTCTCACCCTCTCTACTCACATCCACTGTTCCTTCTGTCAGGGTCACCCCTGCCCAGGGTTCCTCACCTGTTGGACTTGAATTCTGTTTTAAACAAGGGCTCCTTTGCTCATGTGGGAGTCAGGGAGTCCCCCACAGCCAGAGAGCATTTGGTGAACATCTTGCAGGGATGGACCCCACCAGGCGCCAGGGAAGATAAAGACAGGTTGCCCTGCTCCTTGCCTGCAGCATTCTGACTGGCTGACCAGGTAGAGGTGCGAACAGAACATTCTGGGTTAGTATCCCCTGTGCTGAGGGTGGAGATGGACCCAGGGAAGCCATCCTGTTCCCAGCAGGAGGTGGGAGCTCAGCGAGGGTTGAAAGTGAGGCCCAGCTCACCCTTGGCAGAACCGCAGGATTCAGAGCCCTGTGCCATCTGTGCTCCATGGCGTGTGCAGTAGGGCTGCTGCAAGGATGCCTGAACCAAAGCAGGATGTTGGGGTTCCTCCTCATCAGACTGTTGTCACCCACATTTGCACTCATCACTCAGGGACGACAGCTTAAATGCTGCAAGAGGAGCAGATATGAAGGTCTTTGTGCAATGAAATGACAGTAAATGGAGTACGTGAGGTTTGTGTCTTGGCTCATTTTCCCAGATATCTCCAGAGCCAGCTCTTCACAGCTGCCCGTTAATCTGAGCAAGAGGGCAGGAATGAGGGCATGCCCACGGGGCACAGGCCTGAGCTTAGAAAGCAGACAAGTCCCTCTACCCACACGCCTGTGGTGCTGAGATGCTGTGATCCCAGTGGCCCTGCTGGCCATTCAGTTCGGCCACACAGATAGGGCAGCCCAGAGAAGAGATCACAACGAGCAGGGAGTGTGTCTGGCTAACACCTCCCAGTTCCTGGGGGAGTGGCTACATGTGAGTACAGCCGTGTGTCCATTCAACTTACATGGATCCAAGGCCTAGGGGCCCGAGAGCCAGTCCAGAATGGCCTCACTTCTCAGAGTCCACTCTGAAGCCCTGGGAAGCAGTGATATTGCACAGTTCCTAGAAGTGACTTCAGCACCTTTTCTCCTAAATGCCAGTCAAGTCGAAACCCTTGTTCTAGACTGGCAGGGGTGGGTAGTAGACTTATGGCTCCCAGCAGCTGGATGCTGAAAGTGTTGACCTTTGCCTAGCCCTGAAGCATCAACTGTGCCATGGTCAGGGCTCAGAATCTGTCACAGCAGCCAGGGTCAGCGGGCAGGAAGGGTGGCCTGCTTGGGGACTTAGAAGTGTGTCACGCACCTCCTGGTACCAGGAGGGCTGCTGTGTCTTCTCAGCCGACTAATCCCCATGAGCTCTCATACAAGGCCTGGCCCATGCTGTGTGCTGTGTCTGGTCAGCCAGGATGCTTGCCACACTGGAAGAAAGCTGCAAAAACATGATGGGGACCTTAGGATCAGGGATTGGCTCATCCCAAACTTGACTGTCAGGACAAAACTGAGCCTGCTGCAGTGAGGCAGGAGCTGGAACTTGTGTTGCCTCCACCCATAGGAGCTTAGGAGGGACCTCTTTTAACTCTTCCCCACAGGGAGACCAGTGCCAACCCTGCCCTGCCCTGCCCTGCTGACCCTGCCAGGGGAAGGAGATGGTCTACAGAAGCACCAAACCCAAGGCCACTCAGTCCACAGAGGACTGGACCAGGAGCTCAACCTGGTCTCTGTGTCATGCACAGAAGAATGGCAGCTGTCAAGTCACGAGACTATTTAAGATAGGGCTTTAAGTTCTGGGCCTCTGTCACCTCATGTTAAGAGTGCTCGGAATTTTGACAGCTGGCATTGTCTTCCCCAGCCTGAGGCCAGTGCCTGGCTGCCGTACCCTCCGCTGTGATAGGGACATTGGATTGAGTCCACAGTGCGGCAGGGCAAACTGCTGGCCACAGAATATGTGTGATATGTGTGAGCAAGGCCATGATGCCCACAAGTCAGGAGAGTCAGCACAGAGTGGGCTGCTCCTTAGGCAGTGACAGGGAGCATGAGAGGAAACGGGCATGTAACAAACTGGCCAGAGACCCCAAGATCCAGAGGACAGAACTGGACCAGAGTGACACAGATGTTCTAGAGCCAGTGGAATGGAGATGAGGGGCTGTGACAGGATGGGGACACAACTCAATGGGGGGAGCAGGGCTGGGGTAGAGCCTTGAGGAGAGCCGAATCCTGCAAAGTTACTGGTACTTCCCCTGGTCTGCCCTGTGTCCTGGGCTGGGATCAGAGGAAACAGACACTTGTGCACGGTCACCGATGTTCTGTGACCACAGAAAGCACCAGAGGCTGTGGGCATGAGGAATGGCAGTGGGGGGAATAGAACCTGGAGTGAGGATGGCCAGGGCTGTGGCAGGAAAGACCGAGAGGAGGCCGGGACAGGCAGGTGCTTGGAGAAGGGAGGCGGGCCGCAGCCGCTTTTGCAAGGCCTGTGAATCCTACAGGATGTCTGCCCCCAGGGACTCTGCAGGCCAGCAGCCATGTGCATGCTGAGTGGGGTAAAGGTAGATGGAGGGTCAGGGAGCTTGGCAGCTGGCCTGAAAGAAGGACAGAGAGACAGTGTCCCTCTGATGGTGCAGCATCAGAAATTAGGTGGAGATACCAGGGACGCTTTGGACTGGTTGAGTGTGAACACAGGTCACTCCTGAAGCTCCCACCAGCCCTGGCCTGATGTCAGGTTTGTTTGTTTTTATGACAACTTTGTTGTGATATAATTCAGATATGAGGGGTAAGCCCCAAAATACTGAAATTTATTTATAAAAATTGTATATTTTTTCTTATATGTTTAAACTTCAATTACCTCCAAAGTACTCTCCATTTAATTCAGTACACCTATTGAGACACTTTTTTCACTGCTCAAAAGTTTTTAACTTGTCAATTTTGATGCCTTTTAGTGTTTCTGCTGTTTTTTGTTTTACCTCTTCCACATCGGGAAAATGTTTCCCTTTGAGGACTTTTCTCATCTGGGGAAACAAACCAAAAAAAAGGTGCTCGGGGTGAGATCAGGTAAATAAGGAGATGGAGGTCACGCCATTCTGATCAAAAACTGCTGAATACTTAGCACATTGTGGGCAGGTGCACTCATAAGTCACCCATAATGAAATAGGCAAACACATTGAAAGAATCTCCATAAAAATCCACTGAAGCCCAAAACAGTCTCTCATAACACCACTAGCTAGTACATTGATACCCGTGGGTTCCTAGAACACTCACCTAGCAGGGGAAGCCTGTACTACAAGGGGCCCACCCTCCAAAAAGATAATTCCGAGGTTGGGGGGGCATCCCCCCATACTCTACAATTCATGTATTTCAAGTGCACAGTTCAGTGGTTTTTAGTATATGTGCAGAGCTATGCAGCCATCACCAACATAAATCGCGTAGCAGTCACTCCTATATCCCGCCTCCAACCCCGCCCCACAACCCCTGTCTCCCAACCCCCGGCAACCACCAACCACATTCTGTCTGTAGATTTGCCTGTTCTGGATACTTAATAGAAATGGAACCATCTAATAGTAGGCCTTTATGACTGACTTTTTAGTGTGATGTTTTCAAAAATCATCCATGTTGTAGCACGTTATATCAGAACTTTTTTATGGAATAATATTCCATAATGTGGCTAGATCACATTCTGTTTATTTGTTTATCAGTTGATTTACTTTTGGACTGCTTCTGCATTTTTGGCTGTTATGAGTAATGCTGTGGAGAACATTCATGTACAAGGTTTTACTTGAACCCTGGTTTTGAAGCCTCTTGGGTATATGCTCAGGAGTGGACTTCCCAGGGCATATGGTGACTCTTTGTTGAGCATTTGGTTAGCATTTTGAAGAACTGCTGGTCTGTTTTCCACAGTGGTTGCCCAACTTAGATCCCACTGCAGAGTGACATTCTCTTGTCTTTGAAGCGTGCCACCACCTGCTACAACTGTCTTTTTTGGTCATAGCCATCCCCATGGGTGTGAAGTGGATCTCACTGTGGTTTTGATTTGTGTTTCCCCAGTGACTGATTATATTGAGAATGCTTTAATATAGTATTGGCCATTTCTATATCTTCTTTGGAGAAGTGTCTATTCTGGTGCTTTGCTTCTTCCTTCCTTCCTTCTCTTTTTTTTTTTTTTCTTCCTTCCTTCCTTCCTTCTTTCCTTCCTTCCCTCCTTCCCTCCCTTTTTTTCTTCCTTCCTTCCTTCCTTCCTTTTCTTTCTTAGCTGGGATCTCACTATCACCCACACTGGACTGCAGTGGACTGATCATGACTCACTGTAGCCTTGGCTTCCTGGACTGTCAGTCCTCCCATGTAGCTGGGACTACATGTGTGCAACACCATGCTTGGCTACTTTTTTCTGTAAAGATGAGGTCTCGCTATGTTGCCCAGGCTGGTCTCCAAATCCTAGGCTCAAGCAATCCTCCTGCCTTGGGCTCCTAAAGTATTGGGATTACAAGTGTGAGCTACCACACACTGTTTCTTAATTGAGCTATTTTTCTATTTTATTACTGAGTTGTAAGAGTTTTTTATACATTCTAGATACAAGTCCCATGTCAGATACTTGATCTACAGATACCTTCTCCTATTTGGTGGGTTGCCTTTTCACCTTCTTGATAGTGTCTTTGGAAGCACAAAAGTTTATTTTGACATGGTCCAGTCTATTAATTTTTCAGTTTGTTGCTGGTTCCTTTGGTGTCATAGCTAAGGTGCTGTTGCTCCAGCACCATGTTGAAAGTCTGCCTTTTCCTCATGAGTGGACCTGGCACCCTTGTCGAAAATCACTTGATCCCAGGGGCCTAGGAGGCATTGATTGCAGACATAAGAGTGATGTCAAGTTTGTCATCTCCTCTTCCTCCTGGTCAAGTGGCTGTGAGTAGGTCATTTTCCCTCAAAGTCTGTATCCTCTCATTTATAAAGTGGGATAACTCTTTTTAATTTGCCTGTTATATCACAAGGTCATCAGCATAAGAGGACATTGAAAACAAACCTTAAACTGCCCACAAGCATCAGTCCTGGCTCCCTCTGTCACCTCAGACATGGCCTTCCCCTGCCTCAGTGTCTTTGTCTCCTCTGTATACTTCAGGGTAGTGGAAATGTCTGGGGTCCCTGGCAGCCTTGAAGCCCATGAGTTCCCTGGAGACAGCAGGGAGCAGGGAGCAGGGCAGTTCCCAGGACCCAGCATATGGTAGAACTCGGGGATAGTGTCCCTGCCTGTCCTGCAGACCCGAGGCAGGCTAGTGCAGGCTCCAGGCTGGTTCTTCCGTGGTTGGTTCTTATTTTAGAACAAGCCCACTGGAGTGGAATCTTCCCAGAGTCAAGAGGCAGTAAACAAAGGGGCCTCTGGGACCCGCTCACCATCTCTTGTGTAAATCAAGAGGAAAACATGTTTTGCTTCCTTCAGCGTGGGCTTGGCGCCTCTCTTGTCTGCCCTCTGAGGAGGGAGGTTGGGAGCTCTCACGGTGAGGAGTGATGTTTGGGGTCTGGGGCTGGGCACTTCCTAGATTGCCAAATCACTGGTACTTGCTGGGAGCTGCTGAGGGGGGTGGGCCCCAGGGACCGCAGGGGTGGTCCCTGGCTGCTGAGTCACCAGCAGGAGCTCAGGCTTCCAGGCTTCATGAGTGTGGACCCAGTGGGCTGGGCTTTAGCCAAGAGAGAACAGGCCCACTGCTGCAGGACAGCCACCCCAGCCAGCATCCTGGGCCGTGTCCTGTGTGCCCACAGGCCCTGAAACCCCAGGCTAAGAAGAGCAGCCCCGAGCCTGAGCTTCCCAGGTCAGGATCATGAGGAGCCAGGGTTCTGTGAGCCAACCTATGTGAATGCTTCTCAGAGCCCCATAACCTTGGGCACAGGCTACACGGAGGCTATGTGAAGCAGTCCCTGGCCCCTGGAAGCTCCTCGATGGCTATATTCTGGCTGCTTTAATAGTAATAACCCTTTAACAACCCACACAGCAATAAATGTTGCTCCCATATTCCAGATGAGGTGTTAAGACCAAAGCGGCTGACTTATTCCGTCAGCGTCCATCAGGCACCTCCCTGGCTCTGTCTGCTCTCGCTCCTCCAAAGCTCGTGGGGCTTTGTGGAGCTGCAGGTTGCAGGGCGGACAGCCTGATGGTGCTGTGATGGAGCAAGGTAGCCTCCTCCCGGGGTCTGAGCCTTTGAGACAAGCAGAGGCCACCCTACAGGAGGAGAGAGAAGAGTACCTTGGAGAGGCTAGCGTGCTACAGCAGGAGGAAAGGAGATAGTCACAGCACCTCGCTCCCAAGGTCTTCTGCCAGGCCAGGGGCTTGGCATGCCCTGCTGGGAAGCACTGTCAGCACTTGAAACCACTTTGTTTCCCAGAGGCGGCATGATGGGGCCAATGAGTTGGGAGGTGCATGGGGCCTGTGACATCACAGCTGTGGGGCCTCCTGAAAACTAGAGGCAGCCCAGCCACCCTCCCACCCCAGCACTCTGCCCACCCCTGTGTCTGCATAGCCCCTGTCATGCAGCCCCCGTGTCTCCTTGGCAAGCGGAGGGCATCTTGGGGTGGAATCGGGTGGTCTCTGTGGGACGACAGGGCAGAGTGGTCCAGAGACATGGTTTCTGGGTCCAGCTTTCCACCAGCCAATTGCCTGACACTAAGCAGACAGACCAACTTCTCAGGGGCTGTGTTTGGCCCCCAGGAGGTGCCTAAAGTATGGGGCAGTCACCCATGCCCTCAGTGGGGCATCAAGGACTCCTGGGAAATATTTTTTGCTCTCCATTCCATCCATTCCTCTTCCATGATGGCTGGGTCCTGGCTCTGGACACTAGCTGTGGTCCAGGAGTGGCAGCCTGGCCTAGCCGTGCTGTCCGCTCAAGAGGAACCACGTCCACAGCCAGTGGTCTCCCTTCGCATCTGCAGACAGAGAGACGCTGGTGGCAGACAAAGGGCCTGTTGAGAGCTCGCTTTGAACGGGAGCCTGTAGGGTCATGGGGGTAGTACTGTTGCTGCTGGGGAGGGTCTGGCATTTCCGGCAGCTCCCTTGAGGTTCAGGTGACAAGAACATCCCCCAGCTTCCTCTATCAGCAGTGCTGCTAGGAGGAGCTGGGCCAGTCTTCTGGCCGAGCCTTACCATGGCTGGACCTGATGGAGCAGGGGCGGAGGTGGAGGCGGCAAGGAAGAGCCTGGGCCTCCTGCCTGGCACTGGGCTCCAGTGTTAAATCTATTGCCATGCTTTCAAAGACTTTCCAGAAAAGCTGTTCCTCTCACTGCCTCCCCCTCCCCTCAGTGAGAACCCTCTTCCCACCGTGGAGATCGCCATCCGGAACACAGGTGATGCAGACCAGTGGTGTCCGCTGCTGGAAACCCTGACAGACGCTGAGATGGAGAAGAAGATCCGTGACCAGGACAGGAACACAAGGTACCCCCGTGCCCATAGCTCCTGGCTGTGTCCACAGGCACCAGCTTTCCAGGCAGGACAGGGTCATCACCTTTCCCTTGTGGCTTGTGGCCTCTGGGAAGGGACCTGTGTTGCCAGAGGCAGGCTCCTGGGTGATGAGGCCCTGTCCAGCCCCCAGGGTGAGTTTCCCTGCAGGAAATGAAAGCATGTCCCAAGGTTAGGTCTGACCACAGCCCAGACCCAGGCTTCAGGGTCTCTGGCAAGGTGGGCAGTGCCTGAGCAGCACACAGGCTGAGAATGCTGGGTTCCAACTGCTGGGGCCACATCCTGCCTGTCCCCACTCCCACACCTGGCACCCTAGAGGGCCCTTGCAGGGTAGCGCCAGGCAGGGAGCTGGCCCGGCTCACTGCCTTCTCCTCTCCAGGCGCATGAGGCGGCTCGCCAACACTGCCCCAGCCTGGTGACCAGCCCAGCAGCACTCGACTCCCACAGAGCACCGCAGAAGATTGGACTGCCTGGTGCCATCCTAAGGGAGGGGGACAGGGGCTTCCAGGGTGCTCTCCCCAGCACACATTCCATTTGCTGAGCCCTAGTCGTGTCCCCCAGCCCTGTACTCTCCTCCAGCCTTGGGTCAGGAAGTAGCCTCATATTGGATTATGTTTTGTTTTGTATAGAAGCCCCAGGCAGGGCTAGCAACACTTTTTAAATAAAAGGCAACAGATGACATCCAGTTTCTTTATAAAGGTAGCTTCAAAATAATGGGAGCTGGCAGCGGGGCCTGAGGGTGGTGTGTGGCTGAGGACGAAATGCCAGGCTTCTCACCCTATTGCCTGATTCCCAGGTGGGCAGGTAGGGGTTTCTAGGGCTCCACTCTCAGCACCCCACAAGGCTCAAGTCAGAGCCCAGTCCTTGCTCTGCCTCAGCCCTTCAACTTCCTGCTCAGCACATCCTTCCAAGCGGAAAGAACTGAGGAGAACAGCCAGGGGGCTCAGGGCAGGGCCCCTGCCTTTCAGCGACAGCCCCACCTTTGCTCCCTCAACTTGACCTCAAGAAGAAGCCTTGGGCTCTCCCCTGTCCCTGGGCCACCCTGGCTCTGTGGTATCCAGCTGGGCACCATGCTGCTCTGGAGTCCCCTGCAGAGGACTTGGTCCTGTGCACTGCCAGGCCATCTCCAGCCTGCATGCAAGAGGGCCTTTGTATTTCAGCTCAGCAGTGCCCACAAACGGGACCATCTCCACTTCTGGCCGGTGCAGTGGCCTGGGCCAGCTCCTGCCTCCCAGGCAGGCTGTGAGAAATACGGAAATAACACACCCACCAGTGCTGGCTCTTGGGGTTGATGTGGTTTGTCCCACCTCTGCCTCCGAGGAGCTTGTATCCCCTGTGTCCTCATCTATAGCATGAAAATGTCTCCACTCTGAAGATTGGATCCAGGAGGAAGGCAAAGTGGCATCAAGCTTGTCGTACTGAAGGTACGGCCCAGACTCCCAGTATGGGCTGGTGCCACCTTTGGCTGCTGGCAGATCCTTTCCTGCCAGGGCAGGGCTAAGGTTTAGAGGCTGCTCTGCTCCCCAGGAGTGTGGCAGGGGCCCCATGGGACCTGGCTTCCAACCTGAGCCCCACATGGGTCAGGAGCAGAACCCTGAGTAGGAATTGGGCTTCTTGGTTGCTGGAATGTAGGTGTGATGGTCCTGGCCCTCTGGGCTGCGGGTTCCTGTGAGCATGTCCCAGTCTGTGACTGTTCCCAGGGAGTTGCTACTCCAGCCTTTTGCCCTCCATGAACCCTACAGCAAGAGGGCAGCCAGGTCTTACTGCAAGGCCCTAAACAAGGGAAGATTCCAGGCCCAGCTGGCCTTGGAAATGGACAGACTTCATCACTGAGATGCTTGCTTAGTCCCTGGGAGGAGGCAGGCCTGTGGCCCTACGTCAATGGGACAGAAGGAACCCTGGCCACCCAACCCCACTAGGCAGGTCCACCTGTCTGGAGGGGCCTGAGAAAAGGCTGGCCCTCACCTTAGCACCAGCCCACCCCAACTACAGCTGCTGCTTCTCAAGGTTTCACTATAAAATTAAGGGCAGACTCAACGGAGAACATTTTTTGTTGGTACGGAAATCACATCCTGTGGCTGGAAGCACCCAGGAGTAAAAGCACAGCGTGGTGGACAGGCCTAGAGCAGCAAGGAAAATTACCAGGTCATCGGTGCTCACGATACAGAAGAGAAATGTGAGCTGCGGGGTCAGATAAGGCTCACAGACTCTCAGCTAAAAAGGGTAGGGATAGAACTTCCCAGAAGTCTCTGCCTTACCCAGTCATAAGACTCTGCTAAGGTGAAAACTTCTCAAGGCTCTGAGGTCCAAAAGGAAAGACCTGATCCTGGCCCTCCTCTACTCTGACCCCATGGGGCCTCGTCACCAGATGGGAAGCAAGGAAAAGGCCCACTTGTTGATGTTGTTGATGAGGGACAGGAGAGGCTGGGCCAGCACTGGCCTGAAGGCACCATGGGCAGGGTGCGTGTAGACTGTGCTTGGCACGACCTAGGAGAGCCCAGTCCTGGCCCCAGCCACTGTAATCAGACAACTCCCCCACTGACTGGCAGGGAGCAGAGGCCCAGGGTGGGCAGGACGTGCCCAAAGTTGTGTCATGGCACTGGGAGGGCTGAGATAAGAATCCTGAGTCTGTCATCTGTGAGCTCAAAAATCTGTTGGACAGTGGTGGGCAGGTTCTTTGCCTTCTGGGCCCCATCCTACTACCCACAACTGGGCTGAGGGGCAGGCCAGGCGAGGGTAGGATGGGTATGTGGGCCAAGAAGCTGCAGGTCATTCTGTTTATTTGGGTGCACCCCTAAGACAGGTTACTCTGCTGCAAGCAGAGGTTAGGGGTAAGATGGAGGCCTTCCAGAAGTCTCTAGAGTGGGGTCAGTGACGTGGGGGCAGCAGATGGGGTTCTGGCTGCCCCTCAGGGAGGGGCAGGTAATTGGGGTCCTCCTCAGGGGCATCCAGGAGCAGTTTCCTGTGGAGGGAGGCCTGTGCTGAGCTGAGGCCAGCACAGGTCCCCCATGGGTGGGGAGCCAGCAGGGAGGGGAGGGAAAGGGTCGTCACTTGCAGCACTCACAGGAAGCCAGGGGTCAGCAGCAGCCTTTTGCCGCTAGGCTGGCTGGGGAAGACATCCTCCAGGAAGTAGTAGATGTGGCCCACGGCAATTCCTGTGAGAGAGCCATGGACTGCAGAGGCTGCACCTCCACAGCCGAGTCCTGGGACAGCAGAGTGCCCCCTGCCTCCACCCATAGCCTGGAGGCCTTGCCAGGCTCAGAGGAACCTCAGGCCCCAAGGCACAAGTGCCCCAGTCTTCCAGAGGCTGCCTGCCCAGGGCAGGGCCAGGATTGGGCCTGAAGGACAGGCTTAAAGGGCCCTGAAGTGGGTAGGTCCTGGGAGGGGAGGAGGTGAACCACAGAGCAGGAACCCTGACCTGCCCATCTCTGCCCCTGTCAGGGCCCCACAAGCAGCAGCAGGTCAGCCCTGAAGTTGCAAATTGTGTGGCTTGTCTACAAAAAGAACAGGAGCTGGGAGGGCAGGAAGAGGGGGTGGGGAGGCAGATGCCAGGTTCAGATTCGATGAGCGGCCCAGCACAAGAGGGAGGGAACCTTGGCATAAGCCACGTGTCCTGAGGGCAGTGGGCCAGCCTGGGACAGGCTGGATGGACAGGGAGCTCACCCAGCAGGTCCACCAGGATCGAGTTGCCCAGCAGCAGCGAGAAGCCCATGAGTGCCCAGGGCAGAAATGGAGCCTGGAAAGTGAGGAGGCCGAAGAAGTTGACCCTCACCCGAGGGCTGCGGCGGCTCCACACATACACCAACATGGCAGTGAGGGCCTGGCCCAGGAAGAACAGGCTGCCTAGGAGTCCCAGCAGCTGCCTCTGAGTCAAGGTGCCTTGGTGCAGGTTTCAGCCCATGCCCAGGGCCCCTCTGACTTCCCAGATTCCTGTGATCCTTCCACTGGCTTCCCTTCCTTATCCACCTGTGTGTGCCATTCCCCCATCAAGATGAGCCCTTGCACTAAAGGCCACACTCCATGGCCTTCAGGTCCCAGGAGATCAGCCCTGTTCCACACCTCACCCAGGCCCCAACCACTGCTCCCCCTCCCCCCATTTTCTCCTATCCGCCAACTTCAGGGCTCAGAACCCAGGCCATCCCACCTGCTCTCCTGTGCATCACCCTGTCGTGCTGTGCATACAGCACTGAAGATCTGGCCCTGGCACCCAGAGTTGAGCACGCGTTGGATGTTCTATACATCCTAAGGGGGAGTGAACGCCTCTGTTCCTCCCTGGCCTGGGCGCTCACGTCGGGCCCCAAGACCAACATGGGCTGCATCCCCGAGGTGCCGCTGCCCTAGGTTTCAGAGCCCGTGGGAAGGATACAGTCATAAGGACGCCCCCGAAGAGGAACATGAAGACGAAGTCCGCGGTGCGGCCGCGGAAGGAACCCTCCTCCAGCATGCGGCAGTAGCGGAACCTGCAGTGTCGGTATAGGAAGTGCCCCCGGGTGGGGCCTCAGTTTCCCCTCGTGGCCGCTCCCAGCCTTGCGTGCCTGCCCCCCTGCCCCGCCCAGGCCCACTGGGCTCAAGATACACGAAGAGCATGTTGAAGAAGAAGCTGAATCCCAGGGGCCCGAAGAAGAGGAAGCTGGTGATGAGCCTCCAGACCTGTAGGGGGGCAAGTGGTCAGGCGCAGGGCAGAGGGCAGAGGGCGGAGGGCGGGCGGTCAGTCGCGGGGCGAGGGGGCCTCACCTGGAACCTCCGGAACACGAGGTGCGGGTTGAAGTAAAGCTGGAAGGGGCTGAGGAGCTCCAGCTGCTGTGGAAGAAGAGGCGAGTCAGGGCTGCCGCAGGATCCATGCCGTCGCCAAGGCGATCCTCACCCCCTCCTGAAAACTATAGCCATGGCGACGACGCGTCCGTCTGGCCCGCTTACCACGGCGGCAGTGGTGAGGACGCAGGCTGCGGTGTAGGCCCGCGTCACCGCCGGCACCTGCAGGAACTCGGCCGCCAGCCCCTGCCACGCCATTGAACCTTCTCGGGCACGCGTTGCCAGCCCAGCGGCGTGCTCTTTAACCTCGCTCCCATGCTGGAGGGAGGGGCCCTGGGCCCGACAGTCAATAGTAAAAGGAAGAGGGAAGCTGGGGGCGGGAGAGGTGGTGGGCGGGCCTAGGCTGACTGCCAATGAGCGGGCCCCGCGACTGAGCACGTGGCGGTTGTTGTGGCTGCGCTGGCGGCGCGGGAGAACAGGTGGCCAATGAGGAGCTGGTCACTTGGCGGAGTTCTAGGGGAGGGCCAATAGTGGGGACCTACGACACCACGGAGGCGGGGCTCAGTGGCAGCGCGAGCGGAGAAAAGATCTGAGCCCAGAGCCGCGAGACCCGAAAGAAGCGGGGTCGCGGGGCGGGGCCAGACCGTAGGGCCGCCGGGTTCTGAGTCTGGTTAGCTGTTAACCCACGTCGTCCTCTGAGAACCTGGAACAGGCCCACCTAACCCCCGGCTAGGGAGATGTTCGGGAGTGTGTCCAGACCCCCCCAAACGTCCAGGATCCTGCCAGGGTTCTCCCGCGGGGCCACTGGAAGAGGGGCCGGCTGGGGGCTTGCAGCCCTGGTGGGGCTCGAGGTGGCGAGGCAGGAAGTGGAAGGGCGGGAGAGGGCTGCAATGGTTTGGCGGAAGAGAGAAACTCCTTTCATTCACTCATTCATTCAGCCTGGTTTCATGAGCACCGACTGCGTGCCCGTTGCTGTTCTAGAAGTCGGGGATACAACAGCCAACACTAAACTCTGTCCCTTACCAGCCAGCCCAGGAGGTAGTCCACAGTACCAAGAGCTGTTCCTGACTGGACAGTGGCTGATGAAAAGTAACCTCGAATGAGGGGTGTCCGCTAAGGTGGGGGATGATCTGGAAAGCCTCTGTGAGGAGCTGAAGTTTGAGATAAGGAGGGGTAGAATGTGGGTTTGTCCAGACGGGACAGGGCTGTGAGAGAGTCAAAGGTGATCCCAAGACCTGAGCCACAGAGCAGATAGATGGTGGTGGTCTTTATTAAGATGGGGGGGTGGTCCATTCCAACCTCATGGAGTTTGAGGCATTTGTGTGACATCACTTGGAAAAATCTGAGTGTGGCGTTGGGGTAGCAGCTGGGGCAGGCAGTCTTCAGTAGAACCAAGGCATCTGTATCCCTGGGCCTGTATGAGTCGCCCAAGGGCAAAGATCAATGGAGAAGACAAGAGGCCAGGCCTGGGCAGCCTGAGCTGCAGTAGTCAGGGAGAGATGGCAAACCTGAGGAGGCCAGGGAAATGTGGCCTGGGAAGACACTGTGGGTTGCACCCGTGCCAAGGTCCCTGGTGACCAGGATGATGGTGGGAAAAAGGGAGAGAAGGCACCACCTTTACTCCATAGGGAGCTCAGCCTTGTATGTTACTGTGGAAGACAAGGAACACTATGGACAGGACCCCAAGGTCCCCCAGAAGACCAACTGGCTGAGAGAGTCATGTCAGGTAGATCCCGAGAGCATGAGTCTCCCACAAGGGTGCCGAGAGGGGTCCCCTGGGGAGCAGAGCAGGACCAGTGCCTGATGAGAATGGTTGAGGAGCCCCCTCCCCTCCCCAGTGTTAGCAGAAAGCACTGGAGGAATGTTCAGGAGCGAGAAGGTCTGGCCAGTGCAGCAGGGGTGAGACCGAGGTGCTGAGAGGTTGAGGGGTGAAGGCAGGCTGAGGGGACAGCCTTGGTTTTCCAGTGAATCAGGCCAAGGTTCTGTTGGAGGGAGGCCAGGCAGAGCAGATCCCACCCTGGCAGCAGCAGTGTACTGCAGGGCAGGGATCCAGGGCCTCTGACGCCAGGGCGGGCGTCCGGCGGGCATGGAGGAGCCAGGGGGAAGGTAGGGTTTCATGTTAGCGTGGGGAAGGGGAGGGATTCCTCCTCCAGGCACTTAGCAGGCGCTGAGCCCCTCCACTCAGGGTCAGACGGAGGCTAACGGGAGGGGCCATCACTGTCTGTCTCCCCTTCGATCAGGGCAGATAAGGCAGGCGCCTGGGTTGGGGGCTGAGAGGCACATTCCTGGAAGGTCAGGAGCCTAGGGTGGGTGGAAGAGGCCAGCCATGGCTGGGAGGGAGCCCAGGGGGACATCTAGGGAGCAGTGGTTGTGTTCCACTGCAAATGCTCCCTTCATGGAGCCCCAGGGTATCCTCATATGTGGAAACTGAGACCCAGCAGGAGGCAGAGCAGGGCCTGGAGTGGACCTCCATCACCAGTCCTAGCCTTTCCTGTGCAGTCTGAGGCCAGAACAGACCACTCTGGAGACCAGGTCCACTTTTCCTCGGACTCTCGAACCCCTCCAGGGAATGGAGTGACATCCTGGGCATCCCAGGGGCCAAGAGCCATTGACGATGTGTGAGATGCTGACATTGGGATGTAGACCTTCTCTCTCCCATGCCGATGACTATGGGCAATAGGGGGCCTATGGTCTCTTCTCAAGGTGATGACAGACTCTGCTCCCCACAACACCTACCTTGTCTTGTGACCCCTGCTGGCCCCCAGAGAACCCCTAAGTCTCCTGTCCAGTCTCGCCCAGTGCCTACAGGCAGGACAGCACCCTCTGCATGTCCACTGAGCTACCTTCCTCCTCACAGGCCTGGCACCCTAGGAGGGACCCTCATCAACCCCTGGTGACAATCCAGAAACCCAGGGTCATCTCTGCAGCCCCCCTAGCCCCGTGTCTCACTTGACGCTCCCACAGAACTCTGCAGTTCTTTCCCTCTCCAATACGCTCGCCATCACCACAACCTCTCATCCAGGCCTCAGCGATTCTCTCCTTTAAAACTGCCATTCATTCATTCTTCATTATCTTCCTTACCAACCTAGATATTCTATTAAGGGAGGAAGGGCAGGTGTGGAAGTGCCCCTTCTCCAGGAAGCCCTCCCCAATCACTCCCAAAGGGACAGATTTAACTTATCTTCTGTTAGGGCCCTAAACACTTAATTTTTCAATATATTGTATTGCAAAGGCTGCCCATGCCTGTGGTAACTGAGCAGAAGTATCGGAAATGAGGTGGATGTTTGTGTACATGCTGGGACAGCTGTGCTTTCCTCTGGATGACAGACACATAGCGCCCTTGCCAGGGGCTTTCCTCAGAGGCTGTGAGTAGGGCTTACTCCCTCCAGCACATGGTCTCCCAGTCCAGTGAGCAGGCCTCCAGCCAGCCCCTCCCAGGAGCAGCTGTGTCCCCTGCGGCCCTTCCTGTCTGGGCCACTGGGTATTTTTAGCTCTGAATCCGGAACCCACACAACAGCAGCTGCTCGTGGCCAGAGTGCAAGAACAACAAACTGTCCAGGTGGGCTGCGAGGGCCTGGGCCACAGAGGGGATGACCTGGGCCTGGCCCTCTGAACCTGGTAGCAGAATCGCAACTTTCCGGGAATAAGCTGGTCTCTGGATGGGCTGAGGAGGGAGGAGGCAGACGGGGGGAAGGGGAGTTGCACTAGCCAGGCCAGACCAGTTGTACAAAGGCCCTGAAGTAGCTTGAAGGGGGGAGGAGACAGAGAACAGACAAGTGAGAAGGGCGTTATGTGGAGGCTGCATTGCATGAGATGGAAGGCAGAGGGGGCAGGGCCAAGCATGGTGGTGGAATTACAACCAGATGGCAGCTATCTGGAGAAAGGAAAGACAAGACCGTAGTGAGCGCTTGCCAGTGGGTTGAGGTCTCCTGACCTGCCCAGCTTTGGGGTGGTGAGCCCTCCCCTGGGCAGGGACATGGATGAAGGCTCGGTTTGGGAGGGGGACCACTTGTTGGGTTAGGCAGGCAAGTTTGGGCTGCTGTAGGGACATGGCCACCTAAGGGAAGCCCTCCCTGGCCACCCAGCCCAGTCTTCCCACTTCTTCCCCTTATGCAACCTTTGTCATGTCTGCAGGAGTGTTGCAGCTGCCCACACGATGACCCCTCTAGTCCTGGCATCTGTGGGCACAGGCAGCGGCTTGGGAAACACAGAGACTTGTGAAGGTGGAGGCCTGGACTCCGGGGCTGGATCTGCAGCCTTGGGACTGACAGTGGGACCTGGCCATTCCCCACCCTCTGCGGGCCTCAGCATCCCTGTCTGTGAAATGGGCAAGTTGGAAGAGTCCACCTGATGTCGGGATGGCTAGCCGCCCCTTCTAAGGCCGTCTCTGCCGTGAATGAGTGAGTGTCTTTGAGCAGAAGGCATTGGGGAAGGTTCTGCAGGGCCCACCAAGCCTCCCTACCAGGCCTGTGCCTTGCTGTCCCCTCTGGGAGCTGTCCCAAGGCACCTGTGGAGGCCTGCAGAGCATGGCTAAATCTGCCAGGGAAGACACTGAATCCCACACTAAGCAGGAAGGGGACACGGACTGGGGAGCAGTCAAGGAGGCTGCCTGGCAAGGGCTCCTGATGAGAGGCAGGGGAACAGTTTGCGCTAGGCAGAGAGGAAGAAATGGCTCTGTGCTGCTCACAGCGAGGCAGGTACATGGGGGAGCGCAGGAGAGCGTGGCTGCTCAGCCATCCCTCCCAGACTCTGTGCTGCAAGTTTTGCCAAATTCACCTACATCTCACCACCACCCAACAAAGTAGGTTACTATCCACAGATGGCAAAACAGGCTCAGAGAGTGTAAATAACCTGCCTGAGGACATACAGCTGAAGGAGCACCAAGACAGTGGGATGCCAGTCCTGTCTTTGCCACTATGAGGGATGATGGAAGGGACCCATGGGGAGGAAGCAAGCTACCCCACACCATCACTGGGTTGGGGCATAGGGGAGTGAAGGGGGTGTCACCAGCCTGCGAGCGTGTGCAGCCTCACACCCCTTTCCAGCCTTGCGTTGGAGGTGAAACCTGCAATCTATGGGTTCCCATGCAGGCAGTCTCCGACATGAGCTTGCTCTCAAGCTGCTTCCCTGCTGTCTGGGTCTCCGTTTCACTGTCTCTGACCCTCGGTGGCTGGATGAGATGGTCCCTGCTCAGCCTCCAGCTGCAGGGCCTACAAAGCCTGTGCCCTGGCTGTCATGACCCTCAGCAATTGCCAGTAATTCCCACTTCCTGCTGTGGCTGCTGCCA